TCCCCGGGGGCCTGGCTCTGCTGCCCCAGCTGATTTGTGTCTTTCTCTCAGACTCTTTCTCCTCTATCAACCCTAGAGCATAGTCTTGGCCCTCCTCTGTTTCCTAGCTTCACCTTTTTTCTTAGTTATTTAACCCTAGTATCTTACTGTGGATGTGCTCTAAGTCTCTATCTTCAGCCTAGGCACCCCTGACTTCCTGTCTCAGAAATGATATACCAAAATAGAGCTTATAGTTCCCCCCCTCCCCAAAATCATCTCCATGGTTTTCTCCACTTTCACATCCTTTTTCAACCATCAAATACATATTTTAAGATGAAAATTATATATATATGTATATATATATCTACACTAATATATATATGTGTATATATATATACACACACACACACATACATACAGATACATACATACATACATATACATACATACATATGGATAAAATTTTCTCACATAAAACTAAGACTGCCCTGGCCAGTGTGGCTCAGTTGGACTGTCAACACATACACTGAAAGGTTTCGGGTTTGATTCCTGGTCAGGGCAAATACCTAGGTTTCAGGTTAGATCCCCTGTCAGGGTGTGTATAGGAGGCAACCAATTAATGTTTCTCTCTCACAATGATATTTCCTTTCTCTCTTTCCTTTCCTCTCTCTCTGGAATAAATGAAAACATATCCTCAGGTGAAGATTAAAAACAAACAAAACAAAGTAAAACTAATTGGTTAATTTCTGGTATTGGGAACTAAAATTTTTATTTGTACTATTTGGCAAATTAATACTTTCGACAGGTATCTATGACTTGCCACTAAACAAGCAAATACACAAAGTTTAAAGTCACTTTCATACTTTCAGCCAAGAAAAAAAATCATAGGAAGAAGTAAAAAGGAAGAAGAAGTGAAAGTCAATGACTTCTCTCAATAAAGTAAGACTAAAAGGAGAATATATGGTGATTACCTTTCCCACGAAGAAAACGATATGTAGTCTGGAGTTCTGAGACTTCTTGAGGGGAGGGTCTTTTGGCTGTGGCTGCTATCCAAAGCCGTCCTCTGTGAGGAGTGTACCAGCTTCTGCCCTCCACCCTTAAACAAGTATAAATTTAGCAGGAAGAATCTAAATTCTAGTGTCCTGGAGGGTCTCATAATATACAACAAATTATCCAGTTGAACAAAGAGATCTGTAGATGATACCTCAGCAAGAGAAGTATTTTTTGTGAAAAACAATTCTCCCACAATACTCTTCACATGAGTATGAACTGTGTTCCCTTTCCCCAGTTATTCCTATTATCAGAACAAGGACAATTCATCTCTCTCAGCTTCTATTTTTAAAAAATATGATCTCTACAACTCAGACTGGGGGCTTTCATTAGCCTTGGGACTGTTATAATCCAAATCTTCTATTTTCAAGGTATCCAAGTTGTCCCATAAAAATGGAAATCTTTGCCGTTCTTTGAGTCAAAGGCTAACCTTTTCCCTGAAAGATTTGCTAACTGTTCTCTAACCTGACAGAAAAATTCTCACCCACATATAATTCCTCAATAATAGTTACTTTTATAATTATTATTTAATATGATTTAAGTAAATAAAAATGTTTATAATCTTTACTCTTTAAATTGCCACCACATTCATTTATATTTTCCAAGTATTTTATAAAAGGTTATGTTCTGCCGAAACCAGTTTGGCTCAGTGGATAGAGCGTCGGCCTGCGGACTGAAAGGTCCCAGGTTCGATTCCGGTCAAGGGCATGTACCTGGGTTGCGGGCACATCCCCAGTGGGAGATGTGCAGGAGGCAGCTGATCAATGTTTCTCTCTCATCGATGTTTCTAGCTCTCTATCTATCTCCCTTCCTCTCTGTAAAAAATCAATAAAAATATATTTTTTTAAAAAAGGTTATGTTCTTTGCAGGTAATTAAATAAGCTGTTCATTAGTTTGAAAGAATCTTTAAATGGAGTAACAGAATGCATTCCAGAAAATTTCATTACTCCAAGGATTACAAAAAGATGTTTCTCTTTTAATTCACACCAATAAAATAAAGTACCTAGATGATATACCCCTATGATGCTATTCTTAGAACAGGAAACAGAGATGTTCTCATATCCTTAGTTTTCCAATGGAGATGAATTGGAAGACTGCTGGGCACAAAATACGTACTCGTAAATGAGGAATGAATCAATATTTCCTCCCCCTATACCAAATAACCTTAAGGGCTACTGGGGAAATGACCTCACAAGTATAGCAAAACCACCCACGTTATTTCTGTGGGATTAGTGATTGTGAGTTGGATGCTGCTCATCCTGTTCTTTGCAGTGAGAAAATCTGAATAAATAGATCCAAAATAGGATGAGAGAAATGTAAACATTCTGATTCCCTCAGCAGAGAACAAGCTGTCTAGTTTTCTACTTAAAAAGGGAAGGCACCTAATTGCAGAGAACGAATGAGGAAACAGACACCTGCAGGCCTGGCTGCCCTGGTGCAGTAGCAGAGTGCTACACACCTGCTCTAACAGCACTACACACCTGGACTATGACACAGATAGACAAAGCAGGATAGCCTGATCTCCAAGAGGAGGGGGAAAATGGTAATGCACCTTAATGAAGGAGAAAAGTCACAGTTCATCATGGAAACACCAAAGCACTAGTGATTGTTCCTAAATACTGATAACAAATTTTCTTTCAGGAAAGTAGAAAAATGACTCTTACACAGTGAGAGTGGAAAAAGCACTTTGAAACCTGACCTCTAGTACCATTCCTGCCACTAGTAACTAACTTTGGAATTCAAAGCAAGCTGCTTTACCTTTGCCTGCCTAAGTGTCCTCATTTGTCCAAGATTGTCATAATACTGGCCCAATCTATTTAATAAAGCTACCTCTCAAAAATTGGTAAAATGTTATTTAAATACAAAGTATTATCCCGTTATGAGTTAGGACACTGCCAGGTATATGAAATTCTAACTGATAAAATAAGAAGGAAAAGATATCTGTACTCCCATATTCGCTGCAGAATTAGTCATAATAGCCAAGACATGGATTGATGAATGAATGGATAAAGAAGATGTGACGGGGGTAACGTGGGGATAAGGACACATATGTAATATCTTAATCAAAAAAAAGGAAGAAGATGTGATATATATATTTATATATATAACGATATATTAGTCACAGCCATAAAAATAAAGAAGATCCTGCCCTGAACGGTTTGGCTCAGTGAATAGAGCGTCGACCTGCGGACTGAAGGGTCCTGGGTTCGATTCCAGTCAAGGGCATGTACCTTGGTTGTGGGCACATCCCCAGTAGGGGGTGTGCAGGAGACAGCTGATCAATGTTTCTCTCTCATCGATGTTTCTGACTCTCTATCCCTCGCCCTTCCTCTCTGTAAAAAAATCAATAAAATATATATTTTTTAAAATAATAAAAATAAAGAAGATCCTGACATTTGCAACAACATAGATAGTGAAGCCATTTTGCTAAGTGAAATAAAATAAGTTAGACAGAGAAAGACAAATATTGTATGATCTCACTTATATACAGTATGTGAAAAAAACCAAACTCATAGACACAGAAAACAGATTGGTGGTTGCCAGAAGGAAATGGGGAAAATAGTTAAAAATTACAAAGTTCAAGTTATAAGAAACTTCTGGGGATATAATGTACAAAATGGTGACTATTGTTAACAATATTTTATTATATATATTTGAAAGCTGCTAAGAGAATAGACCTTAAAAGTTGTCATCACAAAAACAAAAAGTGTGTAACTCATGATGTTAACTAAACTAATTGCAACAATCATTTGGCAATATATATACGTATATCAAATCATTATGTTGTATACCTTAAACAAATACAATGTTGTATGTCCATTTTATCTTTTTGTAATGTTTTTATTGATTTTTTTTTTTTTAGAAAGAGAGGGAAGAAGAGGAAGAGAGAGAGAGAAACATTGATGAGAAAGCATCAATAATCAGCTGTTTCCTGCACGTCCCTACTGGGGATCAAGCCTGCAACCCGAGAATGTGCCCTGACTAGGAATCAACCAACTGAGTCATACCGGCCAGGGCAAATGTCAATTTTATCTTAATAAAATTGGATTAAAAAGGAAAAATAAAGGTTGTAATGAAAAGTGAAAGAAGAAAAACACAAACATAAATACATATTATGGCCCCCCTATATAATTTGCATAGGAAAAAGAACATAAACACTCCAAAATGCTAACAGTAGCTGTTTATAGGTGATGGGATTAAAGGTGATCTTTCTTTTTCTAGCTACTTTTCTGTATTTTCTAATTTTCTATTTACATTTATAAAAGAAAAAACTGAACTATTTTTAAAAATTGAATTGAGAAGAAACATATGAAACCATGGAATTATAAGCTATTACTATCACCACTAACAGGTACAACTCTACTCTATTATATTTCTTCTATTCCTTACTACTTCTCCCACTTTTTATAGGAAAGGAATTTGTGGTAAAATAGTTTCTCAATATGGTTATTCAGATAGATAGATTAGCTGGATGACAGATAGTCAGATGAATGAAAGAAAAACAAAACCAAATAAGCTAATGTCTTAAAAAATTAATAAATATTAAAAACCTTGCCGAAACTGGTTTGGCTCGGTGGATGGAGCGTCGGCCTACGGACTGAAAGGTCCTGGGTTCGATTTCGGTCAAGGGCATGTACCTGGGTTGCGGGCACATCCCCAGTGGGAGATGTGCAGGAGGCAGCTGATCGATGTTTCTCTCTCGTCGATGTTTCTAGCTCTCTATCTCTCTCCCTTCCTCTCTGTAATAAATCAATAAAATAAAAAAAAAAGCTTGCATATATTTAAAAATAAATAAATAAATAAATAAAAACCTTGAATTTCAAATAGGATCAAACCCTTAAAAAGTTGATTGCCTTATTACAAAGGCAACACCAAGAGAAGTTTTATCAATAGACTTCCTACAAAGATAAAAAAAAAAACAACACCTGGTATTCTATTGTTTGTTATGACTAAAATCCTTAGCCATTTTAACCTCAGTTTTTTAAAGCTATTCAGTTAAAAAAAAAACAACAACTAAAAACTATTATCAAGTCAGTAACATGAATATATTGCTTAAAGTTTTATGTACTAAACAAATATTATAAATCATCACTAGATTGGGGAAAATAAATTCTAATCCATAACTCTAAATCAACTTGATGTCACTGTAAAATCTCTCACTGTCAAGATTCATTTCTGTTCTTACCTTTTAATCCCTCTGACAAGCAGAGAAGCCCAGGGCTGATGCATAGAGAGGCACCAGCCACCATCAAAGCCTTCCTGAAATTCTTCATCCTGGATTCGCAACTGGTGCCGATATGAGTTGAACTCTGGTTCTGATCCTGCAGAATGGAAAGCCTTCTTCTGTGTGGCTGCACCTGTCTGGTCTATCCACTATACAGGGGGAAAAACAACATATAGTTATGAAAAGGAAAGAACCCGGAATAGATCTAAAAAATGAGATGAATGCTAATAATGAAATCAGAGTGGGAACATATTCTTAGAAAAATTTATCCCATCTTTGAAACAAGGACAAAAGAGCTAGAGAAGGTACAAATGCAGTAGAAGCCCAGGTATGATAACAAGGTTCCATCTTAGAGGATAATTAGAATGTTGAAATCTCCACACAAAGATTCCTAATTCCAGCAACAGTACAACTATCACACCAAATAATTGGTCTGTAATTATTTCCATTTTATACTTATTAATAATCTGTATTGGATACATTATGTTTCCCAACATAAATATATCAGCCCAATGAAGATTTAACGTTTTGATCTGTACATTTTTCATGTGCTGAGGGGCAGAATCACATGCTGACACCATGATAAAGCCAAACAGATCTTGTCAGGGGCAGTAGTTCTGATGACTGGATGCAAGAAGTATTATTCTCTTACCCTGCATTAAAGAACTGGCCCCTAAAGGAGAGGATGGAGCACTACAGAAATGAGGCATCCATCATGTAAAGAGAATAGAAATTATAGGGTACAGGTAATTACAGGAGCCTGAAGAGTCCTGACAGTAGTTCAGTCAGAGACAAAGGTTAGTGTTTCTTCCATCCAGAGCAAGAAGACTGAATGCTCCAAAATTTAAGGGGGAAAAATTTTTTTGACTTTTTACTTAGTAATTTATAGATGGGGAAGAAATGCTAGAGTGGTAGTCTAGAAACTCTAAGCAATCATTTAACCCCTAAAGGTGTCACTTTACTGTAAAATAATGGGGTTGGACTAAATAAATCCCTAAGAATCTTTCCGCAATAAAATTTTATAAGTCCAATCAACTTTGTATATTAAAAAAAAATCACAGAAACATTCAAGTACTTAACTATATGAAAAGGCATAAAGCAACAACATATAAAATATAAAAAAGATCATGGTTCTTGCATTCAAGGAAGTTACAATCCTAATAGAAGACAGACATATAAAAAACTATCCAAAATATAAGGCAGAGAGATGCAAATCAAAACAACAATGCGGTACCATCTCACACCTGTCAGAATGGCTGTCATCAACAAATCAACAATGACAAGTGCTGGCAAGGATGCGGAGAAAAAAGGAACCCTCGTGCACTGCTGGTGGGAATGCAGACTAGTGCAGAAACTGTAGAGAACAGTATGGAGTTTCCTCAAAAAACTAAAAATGGCCCTGGCCGGTTTGGCTCAGTGGATAGAGTGTTAGGCTGCGTACTCAAGGGTCCCAGGTTGGATTCCGGTCAAGGGCATGTACCTTGGTTGCGGGCACATCCCCAGTAGGGAGTGTGCAGGAAGCGGCTGATCGATATTTCTAACTCTCTATCCCTCTCCCTTCCTCTCTACAAAAAATCAATAAAATATATTTTTTTAAAAACAAAACTAAAAACGGAACTCCCATTTGACCCAGTGATTCCCACTGCTAGGAATATATCCCAAGAAACTAGAAACACCAATCAGAA